AATTAGGGTTAGTTCACTGTTGTGTTTCCAGGGTCTAAGACGTCCTTGAAACCTAGTAGACACTCAATGTGTATATAAAATGAATAATTGAGTACTATGCCACCTTGTATGGTGGTTAAAAGCAGGATTTCTAAATTCAGGAGACTCGGATTCAAATCCTGGGCCACATATCAGTTGTGTGATCTTTTGCAAGTTGTTGAACATAAAACTGTTTAAAATGAGGATTCCACCTATGGTGTGGGTAGGAAATAATGAAATAGTGTTAATAAAGCACTCCTGCTCCCTTTCTCCCTTGAGGGTTCTCTTCTTTTCCCTCCTCTCTTGGCCCCACTCGCCACATCTCTTCTGCTTTGCGTGCCACTTTGCACAGTCTCAAATAGGCCTTTTAAATTCGGCGGGAATTAACATCATTTGTCGGGAGGGTGAGAGTTGCGCATGAGTGGGACACCGCCTCTGAGTCTCTCGCGCTAACTTGCAGCTTTGACAGCCAATCAGAGTTAACGTCAGAGCCGTAGTGCCCAGGTCTTACCAATCCAAACAGGGAAGCAGGCCTTAGTGGAGGAGGTGGTGAGAGGGGGCGGGGACAAGCAAAGGGCACACAGAATTCTCGCGGCTCGGGCACCTGCTGGCCAATGGGAGAGACCAGAAGTCTTAAGGCAGTGGGGCGTGGCGTTAGTGGCTCCAGCAACTGGGGACCGTCCCAGGTCAGACCAATCAGAGTAAGGAGGTAGGAGAAGACTAGCCAATTATCGTGCAGAACAGGCGAGGCGGGGCGGTGTGCGAGGGGGTGGTGGAGTCTCGCGCGGAAGCCACCGGCTTCTGTCACGGGAGCCGGGATTGCTAAGGCGGCTGGGGAGGCGGGAAGGTAGCAGTGGTTGAAGGGGCATTGGCTGATTTGCGGGAAGACCGTGAGCAGCAATGGTGATGGCGGCGAAGAAGGGCCCAGCCCCAGGTGGCGGGGCCGGCGGGGGGAAGTCAGAGGCGGAGGCGGCCTCAGAGGTGTGGTGCCGCCGAGTGCGGGAATTGGGCGGCTGCAGCCAGGCTGGGAATCGCCACTGCTTCGAGTGCGCCCAGCGCGGGGTCACCTACGTGGACATCACCGTAGGCAGCTTCGTCTGCACCACCTGCTCCGGCCTTCTGTGAGTGGACCGAGGAAAGGCGGAGGGTCGCCTTGGGGAGATCTTGGAGAACAAGGGCGGACGGGGAGGTCCAGGCTCTGAGAGGCGAGGGAAGGAAGCGGAGGTGGGAGGCGGCGGGGAGGCCAGGAGACACTCGCCCGCTGCGGTGAGGGGGTCGCCTACTGCGGAGGTGTCCTGGGGAAGGGAAAGAAGATGAGACTGGAGTCGTATTGCGGAGGGAAGTGTGACGTGAAGAAGGACACCCAGAAAGGAATGGAGAAACTCCCCGAGGGAGGCAAGGCGAACTGCAAGTGTGGAGGGAGAAAGTGTGGAGAATTTAAGGGAACTCAGTGAGGTGGGGTGTGGGGATTTAAAGGGCCAGAAAATGACATACGCTTTTAAAGGGAAATTTATGTGGGTGGAAAGCAATAAAGGAAAGATGTAGGGAAAGCTGGCTTCAAAATGAAAGAGTACCTTTCTACCTTCTGTCCCTCCTGGAGCATGAGATGCAGAAACAAGTTGAAAATAGGTAAATTAACCGTGGCTGACAGCCTAGAGATAGTGGTAGGTAAGGAGCCATGGTCCAGAGTTCAGGTGCAGATCCTTATCTTACAGGGGTTTGGAATGCTACCCAGAGGGTAGACTTAGGAAATCTAAGAGAATAGAGCCAATGGGTTACCCTGGTAGAGAGCTTAACTTTTGCAAAGGGAATCTGGATGAGCCATCCTAAGTGTAATCAGCACCTTTAAGCTCCTTATTGCCATGGATGGATCCTGGTGGTAGCATCTGGTAAACTTTCTAGTTTGGGGGTGGGGGAGACCTTTGTTGTATAATCTGCAATGCTGTGCTTGGCACCTGCACTGTATTTGGGCATGCCAGACCTAATTTAGAGCCACAGTTCTAGCCCAGATTCCTGGTTATATAGTAACCTGGTATCATGATTAACATCTGATACCAGTCCTGGATCTCTGTTTTTTGTTTGTCAGGGGATGTATTTTGACTTTTTTTTTTTTTAAGCATTATGTTAAGACACTATTGTTTTTGTTTTGTTTTTAAGGAGGAAAGGTTTCCCTGTCCTAATACCTTTAGGAGCCAAAGAGCAAGCAGCATTGTTCTTGGTTGACAGATGGGAGAACAGAAGCAAAGAGAGGTTTAGTAACTTATCCGGTGCCACATGGGGGTTGGTGTTTTCAACACTTGTTGCTTGATGTTGCTTATGATCATGGCAGACAAGAAATGGGGATCTAGGTCTCCTAAGATACAGTTTGGAATTATTTCTCTGCTTGATTTTTAATTCCTTTGCCAATCTCCTATGTTCTGATCAACCTCATTTGTGGGTTGTAAGGAGGAACTCAACTTTGATCTGAGTAAAAGCCTGTGTGGCTCTTGGGATAATGGTCTAGAACCCAAACAGGAATGTGCTATAATTTGAGATAGTGACTCAAATGAAGCAAGACAGTAGAGACTTGAGTTTGGGGCAAATGTTCTGAGGCAAGAGGAAGCAAAGCTTAAGAGTATTTATAGTGCAAAGTAGAAGAATAAAGAGCAGATTCCTGAGGATCCTGTTATAGAAAGGAAAATCTAATTAGAGTTTGGAGAGAAGTAAAGGGGAGCAGGAGAATAAAACTGATGGTCTAGCAGGTCCTAGGAAGAAAATTTTAGGGAAGAGTAGTAACTCATTCCCCCAGTTAGTGGCAATGGCATGAAAGATAAAACTCAAAGTATCCCACAGATAACATTTTTCTTCTATAATGAATATCCTTCAATCAGGACAGAAGGAAGGCCAAGGTATCTGGGACACATTAAAAACCTGGTTTCTTTCACTTGAAAAGTTAACTCCTTAAATATCAGTGCACAATTTACAGAACTTTACCAGTTTTCCCTATTCACTATTGTTGAATTCAATGAAAAGTCAGATACCTATTATCTGGCATACACTAGATGGAGGTGGCTGATTGATTAGTGAGTTTAGGATTAATACAGAAGTACCCCCAAGAGAACTGGCTTAGTATGAGGATATATGTACCTCAGACTAGGTGGGGGTTTCTCCCTTTAGGAATGTAAAGGACCAAGTAGAAGGACTCTACTAGCCTTTTTTTGGTTTCACAAAATTCTGGAAAAGATATTTTTGCTTAGTATTTTGGTAACCCATACTGAGGGGTTTTTTGTTTGTTTTTTGAGCAAGAAAGAGAGAGAGAGAGAGAGTTTCACTTTGTCGTCCCTGGTAGAGTGCCATGGTGTCATAGCTTATAGCAACCTTAGACTCCTGGGCTCAAGCGATTCTCTTGCCTCAGCCTCCCAAGTAGCTGGGACTATAAGCAACTGCCACAATGCCCAGCTATTTTTAAAGACGGGATCTCGATCTTGCTCAGGCTGGTCTTGAACTCGTGAGCTCAGACAGTCTTCCCACCTTGGCCTTCCAGAGTCTGGGATCACAGGCAAGAGCCACTATAACCAGCCTCTGAGTTTTATTTTACTTCATAGCACTTTTCACTTCCTGAGTGATTCTTGAGGTGTTAGACTTTAGGGAACATATTTTGGTGGTTGGGAAATGAGAAGTTAGGCTAACCATTTGTTAGCAGGAAATGACAGTACAGTGAAAAATCAAGAGTCTAGGCCAACATGGAACTAAAAGCATGTTGAACTTGTAAGGAGATAAATATCAAGAGTAACTCTATAAGAAAGAGTTTCCCAGGCTGTGACTATCTGCTTGGGTTCTGGCAGTACTTTTCATTTGCTAGTTGGAGTTCTAGTTAGCATGGACAAGGGCAAGGCATATAAACCTTTTAAAGCAGCCTTAACAAACTACCTGTGTCCCGTGGAGGTACTGTGGAAGGGCTGAGAGCTGGCAAGTGGGGCATAGGCAGAATGTGTAAGGTAAGGGATGCTTACGGCTGGCTGCAAAGAGGGGAGAGAGCCCACAGAGTTCAGCAGACAATAGAGAGACCTGGATTTGTGGTGGCATGTAAATCAATGAGCATCTTAAATCCACATGGTTGAATGCCCATAGATTAGAATTTTGTGTTAGTGGGAATTGAAAATTGTGGTAGGCCAACAGCCTGCACATTCATTCATTCATTTGTTCCTTTAGCAGATACTTTCCGTGCTTATCAATTCCCAGATACTATTTTAGGCACAAAAATAGTAGATATGGAGATATGAAAACATGTGTTCATGTAACTTACATCTTAATGGGGGCCGTGGTCTATAAGTAAATCATCCTACATATAATTGTAGGCAGTGATAAGTGTTATGAAATAAAATAAAGCTCAGTATGGATAAAGGAGTGGTGGGAGCTCATATTGAAATACGATACAAAGAGAAGAAATATTCTTTGTTAAAATGAAGAAGATACTGAGGGAGAAAAATGAAATGTACTTTCTCTCCATAGCCAGAGAAAGGATACAGCAAGATGTCTTTATTTTTAAAGACCAGCATTCTGTTTGCTGTGTTACAAATATGTCCACCTCTTTAGGGGATGGAGTCTTCTGAGAGCAGTGAACAAAGTTACCAGAGTTCCCAGCTGGTGCGTTGGCTAAAGTACCAAAGTTGATTATTCCAGCCAAAGTTGAATTTCCCAAGATCTGAAGAAAAATACACATTTTAATATTGGTGGGTGGGTGTGACTGTGCTTTCACTCCAGTGTGTATGAGCTCATTCTCACTCTCTCCTTTTTAATGAGAAATATTTTCTCAACTGTAGCAAAAAACTGCAGCATCAGTGTGAGGACCTCAGAGAGACACTCTAGTTTCTGCAGTTTCTAAATTTACATACATACTGCCACAATTGTAGGTCCCACGTTTGACCTAGTTTTATTCATTTGGTTTTCTTCCAGTACCTAATTTTTTTAACCTAGATATGTATCTGTTTAATTTCCCCAACAACACATATGCTTAATTGTTATGATTCTAACCTCTACTGGAGGATGAATCTGCCATTAGAATCTTAAGATGGGATGACGATTGCCACTAAAAAGCATCTATTTCCAAAGCAGTTCTTTCAATGTTTTTTCTTATTCTGGTTTAGCTGAATTCCTCTATGAGTAAACCACTCATCTTTATAAAGGAAATGGACATTGAGGCCTGAGATTTCATTGACATCAGAGATGGAAAATAGATACTAACTCTAACACCCAAGTTTTTCAGCAAAGTATGGCGAGCTTCCTTCACCTTGCTGTTTGGCTCCATCCTTTAATCTGTCATCCCTCAGGTCTTGTCTCTTCTACTTCTCCCCAACTTTACTATAATAATGAGAGTCAGAATTAGGGTAGGCAGAGCTCTGGGCTGGGTGTTAAGAGAAGTGCTTGGGGGCTGGGCAAGGTGGCTCATGCCTGTAATCTTAGCACTCTGGGAGGCCGAGGCAGGTGGATTGTTTGAGCTCAGGAATTCAAGACCAGCCTGAGCAAGAGGGAGACCTTGTTTCTAAAAATAGCCAGGTGTTGTGGCAGGCACCTGTAGTCCGAGCTACTCAGGAGTCTGAGGCAAGAGGATCACTCAAGCCCAAGAGTGTGAGGTTGCTGTGAGCTGTGATGCCAAAGCACTCTAACAAGGATGGCAAAGTGAGACTGTGTCTCAAAAAAAAAAAAAAAAGCTTGACAACTCTTTTTCTGTACCTTAGTTTTCCTGTCTGTACCTTAGTTTTTCTGTCTTGCTAAGTAGTGGCTCCTAGTTGAAGCATTTTTATTTCCATGGAAGGAACAGTGTAGTATATTATTCAATAATTCAGTACTTTTCCATCTGTCTAGGTTGGAAAGATACCTGTGTACCTTGCCCCTATTTTAGTTCCATCTTATCCTCCCTTGCCTTTCATATTCACCTCTGCCAGGCAGAGTTTGACAGAGTTTTACTAAATTACAGATTTATGCACTTTATCATAAGGGGCCCATGAACCACTTGAGAAACCCCTGAGAAAGTAATAAAATTACCATAGGATGAGAAGTTTCGGGGGAAGGAAAAAATATATAAACAAGAATTGAGATTGGGACTAAAGAGGAGGGCAGCTAATGATGTTATTAGTGCTCCTCCTGACTCTAATCAAGAGGAGCAGTTTATCATAGCTACTGAGGAAGAATAAAGGAAATGGGTTGAAGCAGAATTTAGATTAGGAAGAGATTTCCTAAAATGAGAGAAATTGACCCTGTAGCAGGGTAATAGGAGAGTTTA